ACATGTGCATAATCACGATTTATTTATAAAACCCCAGTTTGACCCCGTGATTAAAGCGATACAATATTACATTATATAATTAAAAATAAATTTGATATGAAACCCCCGAACATGCATGAAATGCATCAATGATAGTAAAAAATAAAAAAAAAACCTACCTCTTACTTGACCTCTACTCGATACCATGTAATGTGACAAAACAACCAAAATAATATTTTAGAATAACAATAAGTAATAAGAGCTTTGTTAAGTTAAAATAATTTTTGGAATAACTAACAAAAAATAATTATACTTAAATTTGATCCAAAAATATTTAATGAGGATGAACTTTAAGTGACTCGAATCTATAAAATTACTAAATAATAATTAAAAGAATTTTACCAATAAATTTTGATCATAAAAATGAACTCTTAGGTCAACAAAATTTTGACCCATTTTCTTTCTTTCCTCTCTCTCCCTTCCTTTCTTCTCTTTGGTGCACTGTTTGAAGTGCCAAAGGCAGGCTATTTATAGCCAAAGCCTTGGCTTCTAATGTCATGGCTGAGACCATTTTCCTTGCATCACATGGACAAGTGTCTATTTCTTTGCCATTTTTTTTTCTTGTTGCACGTTTTACATTTGTTTTACTGTGTATGTCCTTTTAACGCTGATATACAAATATTCATTTATTATATATATATACAAAACTTGACCTAAATTATAATCATTTGATTCGTTTTCACGCAAATAGTCTATATTTGAGGTTCATTTGTTCATTTGAAATTTCTAAAGATAATCTTTAATTATATACAATCATAATTGACGACCTAATTAGCGTGTCAATGATTAATTTATATACGGTCGTCACAAAAGCATATAGTTAATTCCTGCCACCTAGACGAATCATATTAATCATTTAATTTCCATCATTTAAATGACTCATAATCACTTTATTTCCTCCTGTCACGTAGACAATTCAAATTCGAACATTTACTTCCTGTCACGTAGACAACTCAAAGTCCAACACTTAGCTCTCAAAATCGAACACTTCACTCCTGTCATGAGGACGCCTCGTATCAACTACAATTTTTGTTATTTAGACGGCCCTTAACCATGTCATATTTTTTGTCACGTAGACGAGTTGAATTGATAGAATTAATTGTTGTCACGAAGACAACTCATATCTAATAATTAATTTCTACAATGTTTCTTTCGTCATAAATAACGAATCACATTCAAAAGTAAATTCACCACCCACATAGTCAACTTGAATTGCATGCACATATTTCATCATACAATCAACCCAAGCCACAAAGGTTTACTTCATCATTCAACCCATCTACATCACCAAACAGTGTTACACCACTTGGTTATTAAATCTCAACAGAGATAATAAAATAAATATTTAAACAAATCTTAAATATTTATTAATAAATAAAATGTAGGATATCACACCCAGCTTTAGTGAAAATCTACATTGATGTTGATTCCCTCTGTTGGGTTCTTTAGCGAGACATTCCTTGATGTAGATGTTTTTGACTCTACCACACATATAATTATAATTGCATTCAAGCTTTTTACATGTATCCGTTAATGTCTCAATGCTTAATTCATATGTGCGTATTCACACTCATTCCAACATATTTTGTATCTTAGAAGACTCGATTAATCCCATTTCCTAAGCTCAAGAATCTTTGTGTTAACACTCTTAGTATTTCAATTATTTTTTTATGTCAATTATATAAAGTGGTTACATCAACCAATACAGAGTAATTGTCCAACCAAAAGCGAGTTTTATAGGTCCGTATTTATAAGGCTCTTTTAAGACTCCAGAAATAGACTATTTGAGCTAAATAAAATAATCTACTCGAGCCAAAAATAATAGACTACTCAATTTGAACTAAATAATCTATTTGAATTGAGTAAAATAATCTACCCGAACCGATCAAAATAATCTACTCGAACCCATTAAAATAATCTACTCGAAACGATCAAAATAATGTACTCGAACCCATTAAAATATTATATTTGTACTAGATAGAATAGCCGACTCAAACTGAGTAAATTAATCCTAGTCAGGTCTTGCAGCGGCTGAAGAGCTAGGTCATATCTTAGGTGAAGACTCATGCCATCATACCTTGGTTGAAGACCCATGTCATACCATAGTTGAAGAGCCAAAGTCATTCCTTGATTGAAGAGCCAGGTCATTCCTCCTATGTCGTACCTTAGCTGAAGAGCTAAGTCTTACCTTCCATGTCGTACCTTTGCTAAAGAGCTAGGTCTTACCTTGGCTGAAGAGCTAGGTCATACCTTGGTTGAGACCCATGTCATTATACCTTAACTGAAGAGATAGATCTTATCTTAGCTGAAGAGTCAAGTCATTCCTTTCATATCGTACCCTAGATGAAGAGCTAGATCTTACCTTGGCTGAAGAGCTAGGTCATTCCTTGGTTGAAGAGTCAAGTCATTCATTCCAAGTCATACCTTGGCTGAAGAGTCAGGTCATTCCATCCATGTCATACCTTAGCTAAAGAGATAGGTCTAACCTTGACTGAAGAGTTAGGTCATTCCTTGGGTGAAGAGCTAAGTTGATCCATCTATGTCATGCCATGGTTGAAGAACCTGTCGTTCCTTTTATGTCATAACTTAGCTAAAAAACTATGTCTTACCTTGGTTGAAGAGCCAAGTCATACCTTGGCTTTCTCTCACAGTCTCACTCAAACACACAGTAGACACCACCCCTCTATCTCTCCATAGTCCATACCTTTTCTCCCAAGTCCAATGACTCCTATCACACCCAAACCAACAAACCTTAACCCAACCCCTTTCTTATACTCAGCAACATCAACACCAAATGACCTTAACCCACCACCATATCTGCTTCAAAATACTGCCACATAGATGAATTGTGTTGATATCGAAAAATATACAAAAGACAATGGGATTCTAGAAGACAACAAGCAATATAGAAATTACCAGAAGGGGCAGAAAATGATTTTCACCACCAAATCATACCTTAGACAATAAGTCACACTAAATATTCTCCGAATATTTCCCTGATATTTTGTTATAAAAGGCAATGATCACTGTGTAAAAAAAGGATGTCAAACAAGGAAAAAACCCTATTTTACACTTCTTATTCAAGAAAGTAATATACGATCAAAGAGCAAAAACTTCCATTAGAATGGATTAATCAAGCTTTTCAGCTAGTAAACCACTTATTTTCTTTTGTATTCTCATTCTTTTTTACACACACGACAAACCCACCAAGAGCTCATTTAGCTCTCCACCTCATGCCTCTTGATTTTTCTATACCATCAGTTTGGCTGAAAAGCCAGGTCATTCCATGGCTAAAGAGTCAGGTCGTTCATTCCATGTCATATATTGGCTAAAGAGCTAGAGTCATGTTATCATACCTTAGATAAAGAGTCATGTCATACCTTGGCTGAAGAGATAGGTCTTACCTTGACTAAAGAGCCAAGTTTTTTACTTGCATGTGTGAATATGCTTATTACCCTTCATTGAATAGTATAAGGGCCCAGGACGAGCTGATTAGCTCTACGGTTAGACTGGTAGAGCAGTTCAGCCGAGCTGATAGACATATTTAGTAGTCCTAGTAGTTGCTTAGCTGAGTTGGCTGAGTTGTTCAAATATTTAGTGATCGAGGATATTATTATTTACCATCTTAGAACGAAGCTTCAATTATTTTGTAGAGGCAATATCAATTAATTGGTATGCTAGCTTTGTTATGAGATAATTAGATGACAATAATGACAATCTCGAGTTAAATTTACAACAATAGATCCATCTTCTATGATTGGTTAGAAGAAAAAAAAAATTTAAACAATAGTTATAATTTACAATTTACTACTTAATATTTATAAGTGACACTAATTATGCTGTTGTATCAAGTTACTACATACTATTACATAGATTCAAAATAGATTAAAATATATTTTACTAAAATTAATTTTTTTAAAACAATTTTAAAAATCTAAAATGATCATTTTGTCAAAAATAATCCTAAATGGAAAATGTTATATAACTCAAATGAAACTCAAAAATTAAAATCCAAATGAATATCACCCATTGAATGAGTGTGAGATGAGTGATTTTCACTGAAAGAATAGATGAGATTTATTCATCAAAGGGATGATATGTATTTGAGTTGAAATTTTTTGGTTTTAATTTGAGTTTTATAGCATTGCTCATCCCAAATTATAGATCTAGTTGACACTATGATTTGAAATTGGGTGTAGCTATTCTCACCCCTTAAATATCATTTTTCACCCTATTTAATCATCTTATTTTAAACTATTAAGTTCATCTCATTCATATTAATTAATTAAAAATTATTTTTTTTGATTTTATTTCAACTTACTATATAGGTAATGATTAAAATTTTATTTTGGTGTATTATTTCAATATGAAAATATTTTAGAATTAGAATAAAAATTTAATAATTATTTTTAAAATATTTCAAAATATCTTAAAATACATCAAAATATTTTGAAGACATTGGTGAAAATATATTCAAAATACTTTGAAATAATATAAATCACCTCATAACATTACTTTAATTATTAATTATATTTTAAAATATATAATAATTTTATTAAATAAGTATAAATAAGATGAATTTAATAATTAATGAGATAAATATAAATTGGGTAAAGTTCGAAGTTTTAGAGCGGGTTACATTAAACCCGAACAAACTTGCACCACCGGTCCACCACTGCCATATTTTTTTTTTTTTGGTTTTATTCGCACCTAACCACTTACTCGAAGAGAGTAAGGGTTCGAAGAGAGTAAGGGCAAGCGGAGAACACCACTGCCATATTGAAAGGTGTGTTCCAAAGACATCCCAGCTGCCCATCGCTACCAACAAGAGATAAACACCAAAAAGTTTGACGAGAAGAGTGTTTTTTGAGGGTTACATGTAGAAGTGGTGTGTTCATTGTTAAGACCAGCAATAAAGAGCTCTGAAATCCATTGCCTGATTGTTTCTGAGAGTTTTTTGAATGAGAAACGAAGAGGCTGTTGTTGCGCATCGTTCATCACCACCATGGACGGCACTGCAAATGCTTCTGCTAGCTATGCTTTTCGTATCGTCATTAATTCAGACTATTGATTCAGAATCTGACGGCATCGAATCAGTCCAATGGCAGATCATCAACAAGCTAAATTTCTCCTCTCAGATTCGACTCCATTCCTGTATTCTTTTCATGGTCACTGTTCCATGTAAGTCTCTCCCACTATCTCGCTGTCTGTGTGTATATTTTAAGAAAGTTATATAGATACGAATACTCCTTTAGCCATGTAAATAAAATAACGTCAATTACAGCATCCAGATATCATTAACGAAACTAGGAAGAGTAATAGATCCCCAATTAAGTTTGAATGGAAGTCCCCTTTAATCCCTTGATTTCTCCTCCACCACCACCACCCACCAAAAAAAAATCCCATCCCATCAGCCAGTCCAAAGGTCCTGTAATATTTCTATATCTGTCCAATAATATAGCCAATATTTTGAATTTTATTCCCACATTTTTCACGTCCATTTCTACCACATCACTCATTTCAATTACAAGTTGAGTCATTTAATTTTTTATTAATTTTTGGGTTCATGTATTTTGAAAAAATGTTGTGGATTTTTAAAAAAAATAATGGGTAGAAAATAATTTCAAATTATGGAATTTTTTTTTGGGTCTTTGTATGTCTTCTCATGTTTTCTTATGCCTTTCTTCTCTTGGCTTTTTCTTTCTATCTTTTTACACTTTGAAGTATACTTCTTAGGGTTTGCTATTCAATACTTGTTGGTGTAATTTTTCGATGCTCTTTTAAAATTTGTAAATTGTCTAAGAAATTAATAATGAATCTTTTTTGTACTTTCATTTGATCCACTATTATATTAAATATGTTATCTTTATAATAATTATAATTTCTTAGCATATTTATTTTATTTTTTTATTATACGACCGGTTCGACAAATTAACCCAATAGTTGCACCAGTGACCCATTAACCCAGTCTCTTTACTGGGTTGATTCTGGTTCGGTTCTGATAACTATGTATGTAGCTGTTCCAAAATTATTTGTTATTTGTTCAGTATAGTTTTTGGTATCGTTTTGTACATTAATGCTACAGAGTTGACTTGTAGTTGCAACTTTATAATCTCGAGTGCTTAAAATGATGAAAATGTTTTATGTTTTCTAGGTTTTTCTGATTTATTTATTTCCTTATTGTAATGTTATGCTTGTTACTAATCAACAAGACAAGTTTGGCACACATACTGCTGGCAGATGCACATGGTGCTATGGATTCAAGGTTCCTGATTTTTGGATCGATTGGGGAGATTAAAGGATTAGAATCATAGGGTTGGACGGAGAATCATAAAATCCTACAAATTGAAACATGGGACTAAAAATATGTATTTATATAGAATTCTTAAATAACAAAAATAAATAAAGTCTAGTATATATGCAAAATTTCAAACTTTCATGATGAAACATAGTATTAGAGATATGATTAAACTCTAGAACCTACACTTTGGCTACTAAGAGGATTGAAATTCAAAGGTTGATTCTAAATAATGTGGCATTTTATGACAGAACAATTGGAGAATTAGAGTGTTTTGATCTAAAAACATCTTAACATCCAGAGAGGGACGGAGATAGAGGAGAGACCGAGAAAGTCTTGGTGAATATAGAACTTTGAATGTTCGATAATGAAGGGAGCTTTTTATAATGAATAAAACTTTTTGTAGCTTGTCTCAGCCGTCAAAATTTCTTGATAGATTGATATGCGTATGGAATAGTTGCATATGGTCTAGATCTTTAAGTATTAAAGCAGTAAAATGGACTGGGACTACTTAATAACTAACAACGCATAACAAATAAATCTAACCACTTGGATCGATAAAACTGCATTCGGAATTGGGATCCTATTATCCTATAAGTTCTGGATTCCGATCTATTAAGATTTTTTGAACCAAGGATTTTTCAAGAAACTTTGGTCGATCTGCCTAAAACAGATCATAGGATCCTATGATCCGGATTGGGATTTTGAAAAACATGTGGAATGGATTACGATCATGTACTATGACCGTTCTTTTAAGTAATGAATTATGATATAGGACTATGAACCTTATTTTTAATGTCCAATTTCATCCTTAATTCTCTTCCTCCATTTGGTGTCCTTCTACTAGTTAGCAGACAACATAAGTGAGTGGAACCGCAATTTGAGTTTTTAAGTAGAATTTCTTGGTATTGTGGGCGAAATTTAAATTTATATACTATTGATACCAAGTTGACTTGTTCCGAAATCTTAGACTGATGTCTTTACAGCTCTCTATAAAAGTTTGAGAAGTTGGTTTTTGTAGATATTCTGCAAAATCAAAGCACAGGAGTCCTCATTATAATAGACATCGGTATCGCCATATCCTTGTGGCGTTCTCTCCCAATGGTATCGTACCACTCCCATTTCTGGTTGGGTTAGTGGTTCCTATTTGGAATATTAATCCCTTGTTATCATATGGGTATGGTGATAAGTGCAATCATATAAACTTGAGTGCTTAAAATTATGAAAGTTATCCTTTTAATAGTTTTCCCCTTTTCTCCATTGTGACATGCTTGTTCCAAGGCTTATTTGATGCATACAGTGCTTGGCTTGCCTATCGATTTTACTGCTGTTTTTGCAGTTTATTTTGCACACTTCATTAGTTTCATGCTGTGGTCATGTTATCATGTCCTGTTCATCAAGAATAATCTCATGTTCTGTTACCCATGCTGTGACATTTGATTCCCAGGGTCTGGTGAGTCACGATCCCTTAAGAAGGATATAATTCATGCAGTTTCTAATCAGCAAGACAAGTTTGGCACCCTAAAGTTGATGCTCTTATATAGAAATAGTGAGAGAATGCTGGCAGATGCCCTTGGTGCTACCGAGGGAATTACAATTCTGTACTACCACCATTCTTTGTCTTATAGATATCGAGGGAGGCTTCGGGCACAAAATATATTATCTTCTGCGCATTATCTTATGTCGCTTCGGCCCGAAGAAATGCCTCTCAAATCTTTGAATACACCTGAGGATTTGAAAACATTCCTTGAATCAACTGATAAGGCTTTACTTCTCCTGGAATTTTGTGGATGGACTCCTAGATTACTGGCCAAGGGCAAGAGCAATGAGACTGAAAACATTTATGGTATATTCTTCTTCTTCTTACTTATCTATACTTATTTTCATTTTCTATTTTCACAAGGAAAATAAGTTTAAACAAGGGACTTCCCACTCTAGGAGTTGCCTTTTACTGAATAAGGCTACTCATTAACCATCTGGTAACATTATGGTAAAAGAGTGAGGTCCATAGGATTTCTTTTTCCTGTTCATGATATAATCCTTTGTCTGTTTAGCTTTTCTCTCTCTCTCTCTCTCTCTCTGTTCATATGCATGCATTCGTACATACATACATATATATCTATCTATCTATCTATATCTATATAATAAAACAGAAAGCTCCTGAAACATGAAGCTGAACAACATTATTTTGGTCCAATGACTTACCTTATTACTTCAATTCTAGCCACAACAAATCTTTTTTAACTAACCGACAACTTACATTATAACCATAACAAAACGTGCAAACACTTAATTTAATCGTGCATTGCACAACGTACCCTATTTTTCCACCTGGAAATCAAATGTCACTTTCTGTGCAACATATACTAGTGACTGCCCGAGATTTACAATTTCATATTGTTTTACCCATGTGCCCCCTCAGTTCAAACATTAATAATAAGCCATATATGTGAAAAAAAATTATTGGAAATTTTACAGATGTTCAAGAAAGTTAAAAGAGGATAAATAGTGGAGAGTTATGGAAGGTGTAGGAAATTAGATTACTATGTGGATGATTTTGATTGGAGCAAATCTTATTTTTTTTTATTAATACAATAAAAATTAGGAAAAAAAAATGATAATAGGGAGGGAAGGCTTCCTAAAGCTTCTCCCATCTTATTTGCTTGCTATATTATATATATGTTTGTATGTGTATATTCTGAACTTCAGAATGCTGAAAACGATTTATTATAGCATTCGCACATGCTACCCTAGTGTATCAGATAGCCATTTGTAAATTCCCTTCATCTGAACATCAGTAACCCTAGAGGTGTTATTTATATGATTACTTTCTTAGTAATTCCGTATGCCTTGTGTCCCTTACTTTGTGTTATGAGCCTTAGAAAAAGAGCAAAACCCGGGAACTTAATTACTATTACAAATTGGTTGGTGTGGATCTTGGACATTGTTTTGTCAGTGTCCAGAAGCCAGCGAACACAGTAGTGCCAGTTTATAAATGGCAAACCAGAAACAGAACATGAGAGCAGCAAAATAAATCAATCAGACAAGATCACAAGAGTTATGGTTCAACAAAACTTTTGCCGAACTGGGGGGGGGTGATATCTTTCAGTATATCAAGAGATACAAGGGATACTCTGAATAATTCAATTCACATCAACCTGAAACTAGGGTTTCATAGTTGCAAGCAGAAATGCTCTCTCTGAGTGTCTCTCACATGTATCTCCGACCTAAACGAAATTCCTAATGGAAATAAACCCTTAATACCATTCTGAAATCTTCCACAATAGCATCCAAGTTACTTTTCTAACTCAAAACATCAGTCCTATTTGTCTGGCTCGCCTTACTGCTGTGTCTGGCTCCCCTTGAACTATTACGTTAGGCAAAACCAGACGAATACAAGGGAAGGGACCTCACAACAGAACTGAAGGTTGTTGGGCAGTACATTAGTTTGTGTTGGGGGCACGTGACTCTGGGTTGCAAGTACTTGGTGATCATTTCATTTTATTTGCACACGAGAGAGCCTTAATAATTCCGGTCTTGGGTTCTTTGAGTTCAATGCGACATAACATGTTTATATTCTTGCTACTGTGAAAATAACAATGAACAAGGCAGTGTACCAACACAACTGTTGCACAGAAAATGCAAAGAACCGCAAAGGCAATCCAATAAAACATTGGAAACCGAAGATTTTGAAAATTTTCGCTAGCTTGGTTAGCAGGAAATGAGAAATAATTGGAAAAGTAATTTTCTTTTATTGGACGGATTTCCCTAAGAGTAACTAATTCTTTTTTTTTTTTTTTTGTTTAAGTTGGGTAAGGGCAATTTAGATAAGTACAAATATTTTCTTATCAATTTCAGGTTTGCCAAACTAAAAGTAATATCTTCCTACAAAGTATGTAGTATTATATTCATGCTAATCAAATTTATAGAAGAGAATGCAGTTTCTTTTGTTTCTCTTCTTCAGTGTTCGTTCTTCTGTTCTTTCTAACCAAATAAAGCAAAAGTCGCTCCCAAATAACCAGACTAAGTTACTTGGTTTTCCTTATGAATTAATTTTCCTTTAGCATTTCCTTTTTCCCTAGATTCTCCAAAAATGTTGGGCTAAGATTTTGTTGAGTTGAGTTGAGTTGTATTTCCTTTTTTCCCATATTCTACTCCTAGTCCTATACTCCTATACAATTGATTTCACCTTTCAATTCTATCCAGCACTTCATAGCATTCCTATGCACATATTCATTGTGAAAAGTAACAATTTTTTTATGAAAGGACAGTTGTGTGACCTGAACTACTTTCAGGAGCATATGTTGTAATTTTATGTGCTATTTTTGTTGTGCTGACTAGAATTTTACCCCTTAGAGGGTTTCTCTGTAACAGGTTTTAATGGAGAGACCAATGGAACAGTAGCAGGCGAAGGGAAGAAAAACCAGAAGGTGGATGATAGTTTCTATTGCACGTCACTAAGACGCTAATTTTGGAATATAAAGAAAATTGTGTCTATTGGTAATGAATCCCTATAATATTGTTTTTTGAAACAGGGGATGGAAAATGAAAAGATGAACTGTGGTGTTGACATTGGTTTTAGTGGAATTCCTTGGCTTAGGGAATTTACCTTGGTAAATGAGAGTGCTTTCTTGAAGGCAGAGAATATGACGCCTGATAGTGGGGTTTCATGTAGTTTTGAAGAATTCCATCGGTTTGAATCATTTCTATCAAAGTTCATGGTTGTTGCGAGAGAGTTCTTCTTGCCTCCTGAAAGGCTAAGATTTGGTCTGGTTCCTGAGAGATCTTTGATTTCATCTCTGGGTATTGCAGAATCTAGTTCATGGTTGTTGATACAATACTCTTCGCAATGTCCTAGCTGTTCAAAGGTTCTTAGAGAAGGGGATGATCTTAGAAGTTTTCTAGAGACGCAAACTCCACTTGTGACAGAGGCAAGTTTATCTGTTGTGCTCTTCAATCATTATCTTTTGATCCAGCTTCTTTTTAAGGTCTTTCAATCAGGTGATTATTGCCTGATTGTTGCCCAGTCCTGTTGTCTGCGGTGTTGCTTTTTCTTAACATTGACTTTCCTTTAAGTTACTTATCAAAAACAGTTGCGAAGTTGGACATGAACAACGTTCAAAAAAAAAAAAAAAGTTGGACATGAATTATTTATCATCTAGAATATGATAAGTGGAATGATCAATGAACAATGAACATTGATATTTCTTAATCTAATGAATTCTGTACTACTTGGAGGCCCATTTTTTGTTTCCTGAGTAGGAATGCACTATATTCCTGCAACCTAGAATTTTAGATTTGGACTATAGTGTATTATTTTTTCTATCATAGCATCACACCCTCGATTCTGGGAGGTTATCTGTGCATAATTAAGGTAGTTTTTTGAAATCTGACCCCAAGACATGGGATCAGTAACTCTATATCAAATATTGATGTTTACAATCTAAACATTTCATATAGGACAGATTCATCTCTAAGTAATGACCAGTTTAAAGCATAGCTTACTTAACCTGTGGAGGTTCCCTTTACGTCTGCTCAAACATTTACAACTCATGTTGTAATACAAGTCTCGGAAAGATCAACTAGATATGTGTAACAAGTTTCATTGTGTAAATGGAGGTAATACAAGTCTCCGAAGATCAACTAGATATGTTCAACAAGGTCAATTATGTAAATGGGGGTAGTTAAGTCAAACTAGAGTCACTTGTCCCAAACATACCAGTACTTGTGTAATCTTTGTTTCTAGTTTAGGGTTAAATATTCTACAGCACAAATGTAGCGTCATTGAAAACCTACATAGCTTTAAACAACTATACACAAGTTATGCTCACAAATGCAAAAGATCAAACATTAGGCTTCATGATAGTCCAGGAGCGAAAATCCCTTCATTAGCTTGTTTTTGACCTGGAAAATTACTAGGGATGAGCCAGCACCCAGTAGCTATCATATAGGAGACTCTGATCCATTGCTTACTAATCGCAAGTTTAAAACATGCTCACATATTCTGCGGAAATTCTCTAGGGGTCCATCTCACATATATACACCTCTCCTGATGATACAATTCTCAAACAAAGTTGGTAAGAGCCAAATTAGAGTTTCTTATCCCACATGGAGCCATTAAAATAGATTGTGGTTAAAATGTGAGTGAGTAGATCAACTATGGTTAAAAGGTTAAAATGTGAGTTGTAAGGTAAACCGTCGGTTGTAAGGTAAGCCGTCGGATCTAAATGATCTGGACTGTTATTGTGCTTTATGTTTTAGGAGCTTTCTGCAAAATTAGAGTCACTTGTCCCATATAGAGCCATTAAAATAGACTGCGGTTAAAATGTAAGTGAGTAGATCAACTATGGTTAATAGGTTAAAATGTATGTAGGTAGATTTAATGTGGTTAAAAAGTTAAAATGTAAGTTGTAAGGTAAACTATCGGATCTAAATGATCTGGACCATTATGTGCTTTATGTTTTTGGAGTTTCCTGTTCTATTATATAGATAATTGTATAATCTTAGTTTGTACATTAAAGTTCAATATTTGCCTACCAAAATGTACTTTACATGACAACAGCAATTCTGTTTCCAAAACCTTCACAACTTTAAATAAGTCAGTTTCATAAATGCCAAAATATCAAACAAGTTTTGTGATAGTCTTGGTATGGTACTCCTTTATCAGCTTGCTAACATGCAAAATTGTTAGGGGTAAGCCATCTACTTGTAGATTTAATTAATAACCCAGTTCTAGCTCAAACTCTGATGAACTATATCTTATGACATGTCATCAGGATACAAGTGCAGTACAATGTACATTCAACTAGCTCAATCCCTAAAAACATAAACCACTATGCTAACAGAGTAGGATACAACTGCTACCCCCAATTTATCGACAATAATCCAAACGATGAAGTGATAGGATCACCATGTTATTGCGGGTATGCTTTAAAGTCGGGAACCCGATCACCCACTCTATTCCAGGCATGCTTTCAGCCAGAGAATCAAAATATCCACAAGAGCCCTCATGAAAGGGAAGATGAAGAGGTTTATCACCTTGATTGTCATGTAATGATTGAACAGAAGCTTTACTGGCTTGAAATGGATGAGAATTCTTGGGGAAACACTGTTATTTTTAAGTGGAATGGATATGGGAGTATCTGTGTTTCGTTAGATTTGGGGAGTGTTAATTGGCTGGAAGAAGTTATGGCTGAATCTATACGGTGGAATTCCTGCAAAACTTTTTCAAGACAGTGTAGAAGCAAGTCCTCTTGTTTTGGGTGAAATTGAATTCAAATGGACGAGGAAGATCTTTGCCCATCTCAAAAATTGTAGAAGAATGGTTTGCAGAAAGTAGAAACAGCTTGTCGTGCCTCCAGAATTTGGAACGTAATGGATGGCTTAGATTGTCCAGGTTGATCACTGGGGTGCTAAGAGGGGGAAAGTAGATGGAACTTTGCCACTACTCTCCTTGCCAACCTTCATATTCTACTCCCATTGGGTTATCAACACAATCTAGTCGTCGCAAATAGATCAATAGCATATTTCCTGAGTTAGATCAATACCTTCCATTGACCAGATATTCCAAGTAGTGAACATCCTTCGTGAAAATGCTTGCCTAAGTGCTATTTGAGCTGCCTAATACCATCTGTGCGTACCATGACGAAGAAAAACAGAATGATTAGAAGTACATGTTTTATACTAAAATCAGTCACTGCTATGTTGAATTTGTCAAACCATGCTGGTAGATCAAATATCTGAATATTATACCAAAAACTATAAGCAAAACAGACACAATCAACAAGCTTGGGGGTACATCAAAATAAAAGCTGATGAGGGAACAAGATAGAAAAAAAAAAGAAACACCATCAGGAACAGAAGAAGGTATATGATTGATTAAGAAACATACAATTAAGAAAATGTCGCCTTTGAAATACCTACAAACATGCATATGAAGCATTTAAATTCTCACAACTTCAATGATGTGCCTTAACAATAACCATGCCATTGCCATTCTGGAACAATCATCAGCAAATATTTTATTCTTTCGGACACCAAAGATTATTATGAACTCTACTCAAAGGACTAATTCAACGAATATGTTCTCTAGGAACAAAAGAGACATGATTGTGACTCTGCAACTAATGCAGCTCTATACCCTTCAACTTGATGGTTCATACCTCGACCTTGAACCATCAATGGAGAGATCTACCGTATACACTATTCTTGACAATAGGAGAGAAAAGCAGCCAAAATAATCCAGAAACAACACAGCCAACAACAAACACAAATCATTCAAGAATCAGCTCTGAAGCATGATGAACAGCTGCAAAAATAACGTTACTCACCTTAGAACAGAAAAAACTCACCCACCTGGCTCAAACATGATGTCTATGGCCACTCATAAGCATAACAAGCATTTGGCACCCTACCAAATGTGTTGTGCAACTGCAAGAGAAATTGGCATTCAGCCTTTTTTGCGGACTGGGTCAGATGTGGTTTGGGGTTGGATTTGGATCTGTGTACTGGATTTGGGTTGGATATAGGTCTAGATCTGAGTCTGGGTTCTGGGTCAGTTCAGACCTAACATCTTTCTTTTGTGATACTTATTCTTACAATGTGTGCAAGTTTTTAATCAGTGTTAATTTTAACTTCCACTCGTAGTTTTGTGGATACCCTAATATCCTACCTTCTTTTTTCCTAGGTGTTGCAATAACATTTGTTTTTCTGATGGCACGTTTTCTGTTCAAAACTGATTTGTAGTGTTTCTTTGATATTTTGCAGCTGGAAGATAGTGTGCATGATCCTGAGCCTACTTTACCTGCTAATAAGCCCTCTGTACTTCTTTTCATTGATAGATCATCTGACTCATTAGAAATCAGAAGAAAAAGCAAAGAAGCTCTTGATGCTTTGAGAGAGCTAGAGCTGCACTATAATCAGATGACTGGACAAAACATTGCCGGTCCTGAGAAATCCATGGCTGAATCCTATCAAGCATCAAAAAGTACATATGGACATCCTAGAAGAGAGCTGTCTCCAATACCTCCAAATCAGATAACTCTAAAGGACAAAATGTCTGTTATGGTTTTGAATGACGGAAAATATGTTACAGTAGAACAATTGGCTTCAGATTTGCAAGGTAGTTCCTTGCATGAGATCTTGGCGTATGTTCTGAAGCACAAAAAGGAAATAAAGTTTAGCTCACTTGCTAAAGGTGCAGGCTTCCAACTTCTATCTAATGATTTTGATGTCAAAATAGCCGAAGGTTTTACCGCACAGACAGAAGTGCAGTCTTATAAAGCTTCAGCAGAAGAGCTTATTGAAGGTCTTCTTAGAGGTAGTGTAAATTTGGAGAAGGATCAAATATCGCATATGGCTGGTATATTTGAGACAGAGCATGAGGAAGAATCCAAACCTACTGATACTGGACTTTCTCAGCAAGGCGATGAGAAGACTTTTGCTGATATAAGACCGCAATTATCTGTAGAACCTGACAGTCATCATAAAAATAAAGTAGTTTATGGTGCTGAAGATGGGGAGGTTGAACAGAAAATGTTGTCAGAGGAAGAAAAGGTGGAGCAGCAGCTTCACTCCAAAGGTTTCAGGATTTCCTTTTTCTTTTTTGATGGTCAGTACTGGTTACACGAAGCTCTAACTTCTGGATCAAAAATTCCTTCGATGGTGATAATTGATCCCATTTCACAGCTACACTATGTCTTACCCGAAGAGGCAGAGTTCAGCTTTTCTTCACTACATGATTTTATCGGTAGATTTTTTAATGGAAGCCTTCTTCCATGTCAACGATCTGAATCCGTTGTACTGAGCCCCAAGGAGGCTCCAAGTCCACCATTTGTTAATCTGGATTTTCATGAGGTGGATTCTATACCTCGAGTTACAATCAATACATTTTCCAAGCTGGTTATTGGTAACAAGTCTGATTCTGCCAAAGCTGGCCCTGCTTGGGAGAAGGATGTGCTAGTTCTCTTTAGCAACAGTTGGTGTGGGTTTTGCCAGAGAATGGAACTTGTCGTTCGTGAAGTACATAAGGCAATTAGGGGCTATGCAAACATGCTGAAGACTGGACGTAAGAATGAGAAACCTTTATTAAGTAGTGGTAAGTAGGAATGTGCCTTCATTTTCATTTTGTTTTACACATTTTCTGTTTGCCATGAACTGCTGTTTTTATCGCTTCATATGATTTTTCATCTTCAAGTCCCTTTGCAACTTTTGGATTTATTTGCTGTGGAAGTAAACAATTTTGGGAAAACTAGGACCGATCATTTTCTCCTTTTTTTATGTTTAGTCGATAGAGTAGTTGGAAACATTGGACAAACATTATTCAAGGGCATCCATCTCCATGTTAAAACACAACTATTATTTTCTGTATGATGGACAAGGTTTTGAATCTTGATTGAGGCTGTCCTTACTGAGGGGAGGCAATTTATGTAATATTTGGAATTTAGGTGCTTTCATTAAAATAGAGTACTTAACAGTGAATTTGTGTGCCAAACTTTTTTGCACTATTTCATATATGAGTAATGAATAGAGACCATGGAACAATCTCACCCCTTCCTCACTTTTGGTGGAGTCCAGTACAACAATGCCTTTCGAGATGTAAAGCTCATTTTTGGATCTAATTTTGGTTGGAGTGGAGTGGAGAAATAAGTGTGCCGGAGATGAGAATATTAAGATGGATGTAGTCAAACTAAAAAAGATAGAATTAGGAATAAGTATATTCGTGAAAAGGTAAAAGTAGTCAAAATAGGAGATAAATTAAGAGAAAATTGACTTAGGTGATTTGGACAAGTATGTAGAAGACGTATAACTGCCCCAATAAGTAATGAGTGATGTGATATCTATCAACGATAATGCAATAGGTAGAGGTAGAGCAAAATTAACTTTGAATAAGATAGTGAAAAGGATATGATGGTTTACGATATATGACATTTGATAGATAATAGGATGCACGTGGCCTGTTAAGTTGAGAGAATTAACACAATATTAAAGAGAAACTGAGAGTGGTCAAAACTTAACCTACATCTCACAAATCACTTATATTTATAGTTAACTTGTAATCATACAACAGACGTATATATCCCCTAGTATTTATATATAGTACCCTAATACTCTTAACACTCCTCCTCAAGCTGGATTATATATATCATACAATTCAAGTTTGGCACAAATGACTGTAAGACATGTACGATTCAATGCTTTGGTTAGCATATCTGCAAGCTGATCTTCTTCAGATCTCACAAATGGAGTTGTAATATCTTTGGTTATTATATTGTCTCGAATAAAATGACAATCAACCTCAATTAGCAACGATATCATGAAATATTGGATTAGCAGCAATATGGATAGCTGCTTGGTTATCACAAAACAACCTTAAAAGAGGTTGAATTAGAAAATCAATTTCCTGGAGAAAGTATAATAGCCACGTCAACTCACTCATTGTATGCGTCATTGCTCTATACTCAGTTTTAGCATTGGATCTCGCTACCATGGGTTGTTTCTTACTTTTTCATGAAACAACGTTACCTCCTAAAAAAGTACAATAACCAGTGGTTGATCTCCGATCAGCAGGAGAGCTGGTCCAATCAGTATTTGAAAAATATTCCACTCTAAGATGTCCATTAGCTCGGTATAACAGCCCAGGGCTGGGAGCACGTTTGAGATATTATAGAATACGAGTAACTGTTTCCCAATGTGATACTCTAGGATATCTCATAAACTGACTCACTATACTAATTGTATAAGAAATATCTAGTCGAGTAATAGTGAGATAATTAAGCTTCCCAATCCACCTGTGATACCGATTCGGATTTTCAAACAGTGCACCATCATCCGTCAACAACTTTTGATTTAGATCCATAGGAACATCAATTGGTCTGCCACTCAACAAACCTACTTTCTTTAGCATGTCAAGTACATATTTTCTTTAGAATAAATAAATACCTTGTGTAGATTTAGTCACCTCAATACCTAAGAAATACCTGAGTTTTTTCAAATCCTTAGTATGAAATTGGTCTTACAGAAAGGTTTTTAAATTGGCAATTCCTTCAGAATTATTTCTAGTAATCACAATATCACTACATAAACTACCAATAGAACATATCCGATATCCGCCAGTCTATAAAACACAAAGTGGTCTGTCTAACATCGTAGAAGACCAAACCCTAAAACTACATCTGAAAACATACCAAACCATGCCCTCGGTGACTGTTTTAAACCATATAGAGCTTTCTTTAATGGCCATACATGTTTACAATACTTTCGCTGCGCAGGAAGCCTTGGTGGCTGCTCCATGTAGACCTCTTCGACTAGGTCACCATGTAGGAAGACATTCTTGACATCTAATTGAAACAAGGGGCCAATCAAGATTAGTAGCCAAAGAAATCAATATACGAACAAAAGAGATTTTGACAACAGGAGATAAAGTCTAATCATAATCAACACCATAGGCCTGAGTAAAGCCCTTAGTAGTAAGACGGGTTTTGAGACGCTCTATAGAACCATCCAGATTAAATTTAACAATATACATCCAACTACAACCAACAGTTCGTTTACCATCAGGTAAAGGAGCATGAGCCTAAGTCCCATTATGATGTAAGACCTCCACCTCCACCTCCACCTCCACTCCCGTAGCTTTCCTCCAATCTGGATCAAACAACGCATCCTGTAAGTGCTTAGAGATAGAGATAGTAGATAATTGAGAGGTAAAACAAGAGACGACAAGAGACAAGACATTATATGAAACAAAATGAGCAATGGGATTGTTAGTAGCACACGACCGAATACCTTTTCGAAGAGCAATAAGTAAAGAGTCTAAATTATTTGATAGATCAAGATCAGGAGACTACAAGGAAGACGGTATGGACACCTCAGTCGATGGCCGAAGACGACGAGAGTATACATGAAGTAGTAAAGTAGATGGTAGCATAGTAGGTAGTAGAATATCTGATAGTAAGGGAAGAGGTGGTGGTATAAGAAATGACCTAAAGTCTAGGTCCAAAGGTTGAGCAAGTGCCGAAAAATATGGAACAGATTCATCACAAGTGGCATCAATACTAGTGAAGTACCGATGAAGGGAAGGATTATAGCAATGATACTCCTTTTGTGAGCGAGATTATCCAAGAAATACTCATTTGGTAGCTTGAGGGTTAAGTTTATCAAATCTAGGGTCCAAGTTGTGAACATAATAGATACACCAAAAAACCTTAGGAGTTAAAAAAAATAAGAGCTTCCCAAGAAAAATGACAGAATATAAATTTTGTCCATTTAACGCAGAAGATGACAAACGATTAATAAGATGACAAGCAGTGAGAACATCACTCCAAAAATAACGAAAAATATTCATCTAAAATAATAGTGTACAGTGACTTCCAACAAATGACGGTTCTTGTGCTCAGTAACACTATTTGGCAAAGAGGTGTAAGCACATAAAGTTTGATGAATAATGTCAGTTTTACTAAGATAAGCTGAAAAGAGATCAAATTTATATTCCTAAGTATTATCAAAATGTAAAATACGAATACGACAACTATACTAAATTTTTATTTCTTTACGAAAGGTCTCAAATATAGAGAATAATTCAGAATAAGTTTTCATAAGAAACAATCAGGTCATACGAGAATAATTATCCACAAATGACACAAAATAAAGATATTTTTTAGATGAAATATTCTTTATTGGACCTTATACATCAGAATGTACTAATTCAAATGGACTAGACATACAATTATTGACTCTAGACTAAAAGGATACACGATAATACTTACTAAGTTGACAAGCTTCACAAGACGCTGATGACACATAACTAAGATTTGGAATTTGACGCTTCAGATTCTAAAGAGAGGGATGTCTAAGGCGACAATGCCATTGAAAAGGGGACAATGAGGTCTGTAGAGCCCGATTAAGTGAATCAAGGTCAAAGGAATATAGCCCACCAGCTTCATGCCTCGTATCAATCTTCATCGTCGTCTTGAGATCCTGAAATACACAATAAAATGAATAAAATGTTATGGAACAATTAAGAGAAGGAGTAATATTATTAATGGAAAGTGAGAAACAAATAATGGATAAAATGTTATGGAAACTAAGGAACAAATAACACGGATGATAGGCACATATCAGGACTCAAGTGAGTAGTCCCCAAACCTGAAACTTTAGAGCAAGTACCATTAGTAAGAGTAACACTGTGTGTGAAAGTAGCAGACTGATAAGTGGAAAAGACACTAGACGCACCAGTCATGTGGTTAGAAGCGCCGAAGTTTATGATTCAGAGATTTGCGACTAGAGGACAATAAACAAGTGGAAGCGGTACCTGACTGGACAAAAGTAGCAGTGGAGGAAGATGGAATAGCATGTTGGTGGGACAGGAACTGAGCACACTCCTATCGTGTATAGTAACTGACCCATAGTCAGGTGGTGCTGTCCGAGGTATAGAAGCAATAATCGAGGTGTAATCCTAATAGGAAACCAGATTAGCAACACTAGAATGTTTTTCATGTAAATTCTAACAAAAATCAACAGTATACCCTCCTCGATCATAGTGAATATAGAACGAGGTCCACTACGGCCCCCATGACTGCCAATACGGCCTCCACAACCACCGCGACTATCTCGTCCACCTCAATTACCATCACTATGACTATCAGAAACCACAAGAGCTGAGCGGTCAGTGGAAATACCATGATTAATGCCTGAAGGGCTAGTAGACAAAGTAGTATGCTGTAAATGAGAGAAAACCTCAAGTAGAGTAGGAAAATTGGAGCTATCTAAAATCTAATAACGAATAGACTCATATTCAGGTTTCAAACCTACCAGAAACCGAATAACATTCAAATCCTCATGTGCTTCTGCCAAACTGCTGCATCAGTAGTGAACGGATGATAGAGCTTCAACTCCTTACAAACTTTCCGAACGTGAGAGTGATAATCCTCAAGACTCAGAGTACCCTGCTCCAGGCAGAAATATTGTTTGCACACCTCATAAGCATGGATAAAATTACCTGTATCCAAATACATAGTGGCCAAGTGATCCCATATGTCTTTGTCAGTGTCAAGATAGAGCAGAGTCGAGCTAATACTTGACTCAATGCTATTTAATAGTAAAGAGATAATCTGAGCATTCTCTTGGTCTCATTGATTATACTCAGAAGTATCTTCCTTGGGTTTAGAATTCACCAAATATTTCTTAAATCATTTGCCTCTAAGAAAGACTTGAACGGATTGTGACCATAAAATATAATTGGTCTCATTGAGCTTAACGGAAGTCACGGGACCACTAAGAAGAATCGCGGGAGCAGAGGTGGGTGTCAATGATGGAGTAAGAGAAGTAGCATCTTGCTTGGGTTCTATAACAGTATGACAAATAGTAAAAGGGACTTACTGGACAACTGAACTGAGCAAGAGGGACTTATTGGACCACTAAATCGAGCAAGGATCCGGTGTTGAACTGGACAAGGAGAGCTCGCTGGACCGCTGAACCGGACAAGAGAAATTCGCTGGACCCCTGAATCGGACAAGAGAAGTTCACTGGACCATTGAACTGGATGGGAGGAGTTCGTTAGACCACTGAACTGAATGAGAGGAGCTCGTTGAACCGATGCAAAAACTGATGGAACCAGTCTGAACCAGTGCAAAACTGACTGGACCGAGACTAAGCTGGTGCAAACTTAGTGAATTGGGTCTGAATCGGCTTGGAGTGGATCAAACCAGTCTTGGGTCGGGATTGGATCGGGCCTAGACCGGTCTGGTCTGAAGTGGGCTGGATCTGGACTTGAAGTGGGTTGGATTTGAGAATAGTTTAAGCTCGTGGACTCGGATCCGTTACCCAAACCCGCAACTGACCCAATTCAATTAGGATTGTATTTTTTATTGATTTGGGTTTCAACCAAACCCTATTTACTTCGATGTCGATGGTGCCAAGAAACAACCAGCGGCCACACCACTACAGAAGCCACCGATGTTGAGGACTAATAGCCAGACCACCACGATTGCCACAGAAGCCACCAATGTAGTTGGTGCCTCACACCCAACTAGCGGCCGCCACCACCACGATGACATAACACCACTACTAGGGACTTGGACAACAACACCACACCACCACCACGATATGTCACCACACAGTTGTGACAATATCACATTGCCGAGGACTTCGATAGTAGCCACACAGTCGTGACAACACCACACTGTCGTGGAGATTTGGGTTAATATTTGTATTTAGGATTGTAATATTCTAATACCATGTTAAGTTGAGAGAATTAACACAATATTAGAGAGAAACAGAGAGTGGTCAAAATTTAACCTACCTCTCACAAATCACTTGTATTTATAGTTAACTTGTAATCATACAAAAGACGTATATACCCTAAAATATTTACATATAGTACCTAATATTGTTAACACAACCAACACTGAAAATGTTTGGACATGGCTTTGTCGAGTTGAGCTGGAATTGGAGAAAATTTTATTGATGCTGGTGAAAGTATGGAGGATGATGATAACTTTAAGGACTTGTTTCAAGGACCCACCAACTTCATTAACATTTGATGCAACAATGTAGCTATTAGGAAAATGGCAGCCATTCCACAAGATATGTTAAAAATTTTGGATCTTGTCATTTAAAGGTGTCTTAAACAATACTGCATGTTATGAATTAGAGTGTCTTCTTTTTTCCGTTATTCCCGTATTTCAGTTGAAGACTTTTAAACCACACGGGAAGTACCATGAAGTGATTGAAATTCAAGGGCACACGTTAAAAACAGTTCAAGATCATGACTCTAAACAAGTGTAGTTAAATGTGTACAAATGCTGCTGGATATCTCCTAGCTTTTTTATTCTAACATCTGAAGATAGTGTTATTTTAACTTTGTACACCTGCCTGACTTGGAGGATGAGTGTAAGCTCTAAAGTGAATGATAAATTACAAACTGTGGGACATCAACATCAAATGATGCATTTTTGTTCCATTTTAGGTTTTTCTTTTATAGGCACTGTATGTCCTTTGGAAAAGTTGAGAGGCTGGCTGTTATTCGTGGCCGAACGTTCTATCCTTCATACCTACAGACTCACAAGGAGGAGGGATATCCAGCTTTATAAACTGTAGGAGGTGGTCCATCTAAGATTATTCCTGTGTTTGACTCAGAGAAAATGAATTAGCTAATTTTTATGTTTCTCAGTTTTTTTGGTCGATTTCATATTATTTGAAAATGAGGTCAGGGCTTTAAATTTGTGTGTGCCCAGCTATCACACATATGTGCTGCATATGCACAGGAACTTGCAACACTTGGTGATAATTTACACAAAAGTAGTAGAATGAATTACATTCCTGTTTTCCAAATGTATTAGAATCAATTGGTAATTTTCTACAACTTTACTTGTCTTTGATGAGTGGTTAGATATGTGGCAGATGACAAAGAAGATGATGTGTTGAAGCTTCCACTCATTTACTTAATGGATTGCACACTGAATGACTGCAGTAATACCCTAAAATCATTGGCGCAGGTATGACACCATGAAATTCAATCCTTCATTGGTACTTCGACTATATTGTTTGCATGCATCTTGTGCATAATTTATTTCTTCTTCTACCATTTGATTCTTCCTTTTCTTACTTCATAAATGTGATGCATACTTTGTAGATCTCGTTTGACTCGCAAATCTAAACCATCCATTTGCTCATCCACCTACATATCTCTTACAATTATAAATTAAGCTTTAGTATAAGTTCCAGCAAAACCCACATGAATGCCACTTAAAAACACAACAATCGAGAGACTACACCATGGACCTTCATGATCTCCGTTCAATCATTATGTGGTTTTTACTTGATGGGATATCTCTTAAATGCAAAAGTTAGGAAAATTTTATGGTCATGACAAAGAGGCCAAGGTTACAATTATGTGGTAAGAAGATGGGTATAGTTTAAAAAACCGAGGGAATGTAGTGATTTGTGTCGGAGAAAAGGGTCTCTCATGAGATTTGCTACAAAAATCTTTTAATGGGAATCTGTAAGTGTTGCATTTGGTTATATTATTCAAAAAAATTGCCGAAATACATGTTTCTGGGAGGAGTTAAAGAAAAAAGTCCTTTAGTGGTTTTTTGTTATTGTAAAACACGTTTGAACCACAGAGTCCAATTATTATTGTATTTGTTACAAGACATTTAAACTTATTTGGATAGTGACCCAAAAAAAAGTGAAGCAAATAGCTGATTAGATTAATTATTTTTCAAGAAAAAGTTAACCATGTATAATGCTTCACTCATATAATAAAGTATGTTATGTAATATTTCATTGAGACTATTTCTAATTGACACTATAGATGATGTTGGTTATCTCAACCAAAATTCTTGTTATATAGCCTCCCTTATTGGTTTGAAAGCCCCACCTCATACCTATTGGCCAATGTATCTCTTAACATGTTTGCTCATAATGTAGTAGAACTCTCCCAAAGATATGCTTCTTTTGGCGAGGAATGTAAAATGGACTCATCTAGTTGGATTTTATAAATAGGACATTTCCACATACCACCAAACCACTTTGTACTTGCCTACTTATAGCCTAAGTGACATCATTATATATGTCAGAATCCCTTAAAATAAACAATGAGAATAAAGAAATTCTTACAAGCTTACTGTCATCAAAACTTTGAATAAATAATGCTCCCAATAAAACCATCATTGGAATCTTGAGTTAATCCTCATAGCAGGCTAGTCAAAGCAAGGCAAAAGAAGCAGATTACAATTTGTCAACCAAGAAAATCCTAAGCTTAATGATTTGGGGTCTAAAAGATGGGCGATGTGAAGCCCCATAGAATAGGATGAGTATCGTAGTTTTGAAACTCGATTTTCTGTAAAAAGTTAAGAAACAGATCACAACTTTGGTTTAGGTGTTCTTATGGTGATATATAAAGAAACAGATTACAATTGTCAACCAAAAAGATCCTGAGCTTAATGATCTAGAGTCCAAAAGGTCGTCAATGTGAACCCCCAGAGAACAGGATGCGTATGCTATTTTTGAAACTCGATTGTCTACAAGAATTTGACAAACATGTCGGAACTTTGGTTTAGGTGCTCTTATGGTGATATATACATCCATGCTGTCTTATCACAACAAAGTCTTTTATTGAATTATCTAATTGTCCTGACCCAAAAAAAAAATTTATCTAACTGCACTTGTTTCTAAAGTTGTGTATCCAAAAAAGTAACTTAAAACTAATAATATCGTTCTGAATTCTCTGATTATAGAATTGGATTGTGATCTCAGTCAAAAAGATTATGGGAGAATAATTTGAGGATGATATAATTTCTTTGGCGATGAGAAATTTTAGTTAAGGCAGCATAAAAAATACACAAACAAAAGTATCAACCACAAAAGGCTAATTACAGAAACTTTCTAAGCACGTGTACTTCAAAACCCACTCACATTACCTTTAGCTTGATGAATCCAACAAACAAAACTATAGAATCAATGAAACCCGTCGATAAAGGAATTTTTTTCTACAATTGGAACATATGCATACAAAACAAATAATCATTATGGATATGTAGGAAGAACTCAATAATAATCACATCTTCTTGGGTTAATAACTTCCTTTATCTTCTAAATTCCGCAAATCTGGCATCAATGAAGATAAACCTGAGTGTAACAAATCTCACATCAAACTTTTATTGTGCCATGAAGGAGAAATAGCAAAGCTTAAAATGCAGAAATAGGCTGTGAAAATCATCCAAATTTCCAGTCTCAAACCTGAACAGGTCATTGATTAAAAAGCTTGCAGTAGTTCTGGCCAGGGACTATAACAGAGAACATGATCCTTCAGCTTGGGTTTCGTCCCGATCACATCACAAGGGTGAAGTGAGGAGTGAGAAAAAATTTAGGTAGTTTTATATGACCGAAAACATTGAAAACATGTAGGTAATGTTGCTCAAGAACCGTTTAAAATTTTGGCCGGCCAAACAACTTCTCACTCGCTTTATGTCTTGGTGTTACAGAATTTCAAGAGTTTCATAACAATAATGTTTCCTTAATTGATAGTCAAAGATATATTTGGGGTTGTATGGGATTCTCAATTGCAATTAAAATTGTCATGTTTATCTTAAGTATGTGATTAATTAGACAGATAAATGGAAATCTTTAGAATAATACCCATTATCTAGGGAAGAAGAAAAGACGGTACTTCCATATCAAAAAATTTTTAATTGCAAAGGTCTTTGAACTAATAAGTCGTATGCAGTAGTCACTTGAATTTTGATGGAAGATTAAAGGTTAACTAGGACAAAGGGGAGAGATATGACTTGATTGACTTTACAAGAATTAGTAAGGGGAAAATATAAAATTAAAAGTTTTGATATAGAATAGATATAGATTTATTCATTACACTTGGAATTAAATATCCTAGAGTAGGAATGATCTAAGAGTTAAATTAAAAAATAGAATATGATTGTCTTTATATAATTGTTTGAGGATAGAAGAGGAAAATAAAAGTTTTTCTTTGTAAGATACCTTTAGAAGTAGTTATATTATAAACAAAGAATCATAATTTTGTCTTGGTGCATAGTTTTGGTGAGCTCATAATAGAAACTGAAACATCTTGCAATGTTTTGGAAACAGACTAGAAACAGAAAAAAATTGAATATTTATCTCCGAAACATTGGCCGAAACACCTCAAAGCATCTCGAAACATTTCGAAAATACCTAGGAATATTGAATTTTTGATATTCAATCGTAGATTCATCTTGATTTCCATGGAAATGGAATGTTAACTTTTCTGTCGCTTTAGTGGAAAAGAAACAAAATTTTAATCCTTGATCATGTACCTCCATTGACATTGTTCTTGTTTTCAAAAATGAGAGCTTGTTGGGATATATGATGCTCTATTCCAGCTGTAAACCCAAGCAAGGTGCATCTTCAAAGACTGATGCTTTGGGGTTGTTTGCTTAAAATTGCACCTTCATGGGTCATTTATTTCTTATTCTTTGGTGCTCTTGAACTCTGCAGAGGGAACTTTATCCATCTCTGCTGTTATTTCCGGCAGAAAAGAAAGATGCTGTATTTTATGGAGGAGATATGACAATAATTGATATCATCAAGTTTATGGTTGATCATGGAAGTAATTCTCAGAGTCTTGTCCAGGGAAAAGGTAAGCTTTCTTGCATTGACGAATTATTAAAGGCCTTTCTTAATTTTTCCTTTCAGAATGAGTCATCATGTGCAGCCCCATGACAGTGATATTTTTCCTTTTCCTGTCACTCGTCAGGTGGCCAGTGGGATATCAAGTGTTGGTCGTGAAATGACCTAATTTTCTTATATCTGAATTACTTTTTATGATTAATTGTTTGTTGGGGATGCCTTAAATAGGGGTCGGCTTTGTTAGCAGTTGATGATCTTGTTTTTGAGTCTATTTTTGATTCTTTCATTGTGCCAAAACCACTGTCCTTCTTGTACTTCTAGCTGCTTACAACCAGTGGCTTTTGGACTCTTCTCATAGTCTTGTATCCATTTTATGACCACCTGTTACATCCACTAGTAGTGGGTTTTAGATTTTTATCGTTGTTGAACACCCACTTCACGTCCTCCTGGTATTCTACCCTGCTTGTGGCTATCGCAAGTGTGCGTTTCCCAAATCTATTGCTTTTGTGTCTGACCTTATGTGGTCATAGAGTTTGCCTGAAATTGAGGCCAGGGGATGGCATTGTGGCATTGGTACTTGAAGAGGTTGGAGTTTCCTTTCCCAATTAAACATATAAGATGATGTTTTATGCCTTGCAAGGAAGGAGGACATTGACAAACTTATATTTGGCCTGCATTTGGTTCTATTGCTCAGAATTTCTTATTTGCCTTCAATACAGCAAAAGGGGCTGGCACATTTTGTCTACTTATTTCTGAAAATATTCTTATTCTTCCCCTTTCTAGTCAGTTATGGTCTATGATCTGTAGGAGTCGGCCTTAGGCCTGTGATGCATCTGACCAGGATATGCATGTCAACATGAGTTGACCTATGCTTGGGAATGTATGACAATGTCATATGTTGAGTTTTCTGGCTGGACAACTGTTTTATTTTGTGTAACACCTGATCACAGCACTTGAAAGTTGCAAACATAATTCAGCTTTTAAAGGATGTCTAGTTATTACTTCTTAGTGAAAGTCAGCTTCTTTAAGCAAATTCTAGAGTTTTGACTGGGCACTATAATCCGTACAGTAGAATTAATTTTAAGTCCAAGTAGGTGTCCATCAGTCATGCACAGTGATATTCTGAAACCTCAAATGAATGCATGGTTCGAAGTATCGGCCGAGTCCGATACAACTATCCGATATCGATACACGTTATGCAAAAATCCCGATTTTCACTTGACTCGGTGATATCTCAGTCAGACTCGGATCTATCGGCACAAATCGGAGCAACTCGGANACAGCACTTGAAAGTTGCAAACATAATTCAGCTTTTAAAGGATGTCTAGTTATTACTTCTTAGTGAAAGTCAGCTTCTTTAAGCAAATTCTAGAGTTTTGACTGGGCACTATAATCCGTACAGTAGAATTAATTTTAAGTCCAAGTAGGTGTCCATCAGTCATGCACAGTGATATTCTGAAACCTCAAATGCATGCATGGTTCGAAGTATCGGCCGAGTTCGATACAACTATCCGATATCGATACACGTTATGCAAAAATCCCGATTTTCACTTGACTCGGTGATATCTCGGTCAGACTCGGATCTATCGGCACAAATCGGAGCAACTCGGAATGAATCGGACGATTCATAGCGGAATCGGTCCGGTATGATCGAATCTTGTGGAAAATCCCCAAAATCTCAAACAAATAACAAGAATCCAAAATAAAAAGGAAAAAGATGAAGAACTTCAAGACCCACATCTATAAAAGGTTAAAATCCCTCAACCAGTCTGAAAATCAAATGCCCATTGCCACAAAGATTGTAAGTATTNATCCGATATCGATACACGTTATGCAAAAATCCCGATTTTCACTTGACTCGGTGATATCTCGGTCAGACTCGGATCTATCGGCACAAATCGGAGCAACTCGGTATGAATCGGACGATTCATAGCGGAATCGGTCCGGTATGATCGAATCTTGTGGAAAATCCCCAAAATCTCAAACAAATGACAAGAATCCAAAATAAAAAGAAAAAAGATGAAGAACTTCAAGACCCACATCTATAAAAGGTTAAAATCCCTTAACCAGTCTGAAAATCAAATGCCCATTGCCACAAAGATTGTAAGTATTTGTATGACATACTTGTAGAATTGAATACAGATCAGAGAAATCTCCATACCGCTTCATCTTCTTCTTCTTTTTTTATTTTTTTTTCTGATCTTCTTTGCTGCAAACCAGTGGCGACAGATAGAGAAGTAGAATTGTAGAAGACCAACCCAACAGCTCTAGCCCTAGCCGTCTTCCAATGATCGCCGGTGGGTTCTTCAAATCCACTCTCAGATTCTTCTCTCTCTCTCTCTCTCGATCGATCGATGCACAGCGCTGAACTTTGAAGGACCAGTCTCAAACAGAGTCTTTTAAAGACTCTATGTTGTCGGTGATTAATTGTTTTTGGGATAATTACATTCACTCCTCTTGAAGTTTGTCACTTAATCACTTAGACCTCTAATATTTGAAATATTATACACAAACCCCTAAAATTGTACGCGCTCTAAAAATATCCGTTAATAAATTACATTCATAGACCAAATATACTTCAATCAAAAATAGGNAATTGAATACAGATCAGAGAAATCTCCATACCGCTTCATCTTCTTCTTCTTTTTCTATTTTTTTTTCTGATCTTCTTTGCTGCAAACCAGTGGCGACAAATAGAGAAGTAGAATTGTAGAAGACCAACCCAACAGCTCTAGCCCTAGCCGTCTTCCAATGATCGCCGGTGGGTTCTTCAAATCCACTCTCAGATTCTTCTCTCTCTCTCTCTCTCTCGATCGATGCACAGCGCTGAACTTTGAAGGACCAGTCTCAAACAGAGTCTTTAAAAGACTCTATGTTGTCGGTGATTAATTGTTTTTGGGATAATTACATTCACTCCTCTTGAAGTTTGTCACTTAATCACTTAGACCTCTAATATTTGAAATATTATACACAAACCCCTAAAATTGTACGCGCTCTAAAAATATCCATTAATAAATTACATTCATAGACCAAAAATACTTCAATCAAAAATAGAATATCAAATATTTTAAATTTTATAATTAAAATTTATGTTTTATTGTATAATTTATTGAAATAAAATCAAAAATAAAAATTCAAAATTTTTCTTAAAAAAATTGTAATTAGTATACAATTATTTTTTTATCAAGGAGTCTGAGTGATTAAGTAACAAACCTCAGAAGGTTTGGGTGTAATTTTTCCATTATTTTTTAATTTTCTTAATTTATTTTAGTGTGGTTAATTTATTTTATTTATTGGTAATTGATTTTTGGGTTTATTTTTTGCCAAAGTTTACTTGGAGTAAATTTACTCTTTGATAAATCATTAAAATATTTAATGTAATGATTAAATACATCAATATTTTTTAAAAATAAAAAATATCAATATTTTTTAATCTTAAAAAACATCGGTACTTTTTAAATCTAATGTAATAATTAGATATATCAATATTCAAATTTCAATAAGTTGAATATTGATAATGATCAATATTTTCGGTGACGCCCTTATGTTTCATTTTAATTATGTTTAATGTGTTTTTGGATTTATTGTGGGTATATGATACATGAATGATGATGTTTATATATTGCAAATTTTTTTTATAATTTTTTCAAATTTTTTTAGAGCTTCTATCTAGCTTTTTGAGCATATTGGCCGATACTGCACCACGACCGATGTGTATCAGTGCCCTCCGAGTTAATGACCGATACCGCGACTTTGAACCATGAATGCATGNACCGATGTGTATCAGTGCCATTCGAGTTAATGATCGATACTACGACTTTGAACCATGAATGCATGCCACCCACTGACCGTATTTAAGTGAATGAGATTTATACCAAAATCAATCATAGTGGAGTTTTTTTCACATGTACAAGTCTCTATTTCACTTGGTGACCAATGGTGAGTAATGTGACTGTTATCTAAGATAGTCACNTAAAAATATCCGTTAATAAATTACATTCATAGACCAAAAATACTTCAATCAAAAATAGAATATCAAATATTTTAAATTTTATAATTAAAATTTATGTTTTATTGTATAATTTATTGAAATAAAATCAAAAATAAAAATTCAAAATTTTTCTTAAAAAAATTGTAATTAGTATACAATTATTTTTTTATCAAGGAGTCTGAGTGATTAAGTAACAAACCTCAGAAGGTTTGGGTGTAATTTTTCCATTATTTTTTAATTTTCTTAATTTATTTTAGTGTGGTTAATTTATTTTATTTATTGGTAATTGATTTTTGGGTTTATTTTTTGCCAAAGTTTACTTGGAGTAAATTTACTCTTTGATAAATCATTAAAATATTTAATGTAATGATTAAATACATCAATATTTTTTAAAAATAAAAAATATCAATATTTTTTAAAAATAAAAAATATCAATATTTTTTAATCTTAAAAAACATCGGTACTTTTTAAATCTAATGTAATAATTAGATATATCAATATTCAAATTTCAATAAGTTGAATATTGATAATGATCAATATTTTCGGTGACGCCCTTATGTTTCATTTTAATTATGTTTAATGTGTTTTTGGATTTATTGTGGGTATATGATACATGAATGATGATGTTTATATATTGCAAATTTTTTTTATAATTTTTTCAAATTTTTTTAGAGCTTCTATCTAGCTTTTTGAGCATATTGGCCGATACTGCACCACGACCGATGTGTATCAGTGCCCTCCGAGTTAATGACCGATACCGCGACTTTGAACCATGAATGCATGCCCACTGACCGTATTTAAGTGAATGAGATTTATACCAAAATCAATCATAGTGGAGTTTTTTTCACATGTACAAGTCTCTATTTCACTTGGTGACCAATGGTGAGTAATCTAAGATAGTCATGCAATGATCAAAACAAATAAAAAGGTAAATCTTTTTGTATATTGAATATTTATGAATGCAAATTACTATAATGAATGCAATGCATAAAGTTTTAAAAAAGTAAGGCATAAATTTTCCTCATCTACAAGTATGCATAACTTTAGAGCGTGATATGGAATTCTTAATGCAATCAGGGCTATGTGGCAGACACATTCTCACTTGAGAGAACATCCACCCGTGGACTTTCTTAGGTGCTTAATAGTAAGTGTATCTATCAAATCTTTTTTCTTCACCAAATGGCCTTAGCTTAAATGGGATTTCTTGTCTATTTGCCATTGAGCTAAGAATTTATTTTTCTTCTCTTCACTCCTTTTCTTATAATGTGTCCTAGCCATAGGAGGCTTATTCAACTTAGGTCCACCAAACCTCTTCCTAGGTGTCCTCAAATGTTTGCTATCGGTTGATCCAAAATAACAGATAGTGACCATGTACTGTCTGTTGGCAATCAATTTTAACTATAAACCTCATTCCTCTACTAAAGTTGCTGAAGTGCAAAAATTTGGTTTCAATTCCTCATCATTCATTTTTTAAAGCCCATAACCCTTTTGTACTCTCTTTTATCCTCCACTTTTGTTCCTTATGTGCTAGTCAATTAACCTCCTAGCATAGTTCTCTCTGCCTGGTTTTTGATGAAATCTGCCCGAAGAAGTCATTTAATAGATATTCTGTACGTACCCTTGTTTTCTCTCTCCAATTACCAACTTACTTGATATTGCTCTATGTTCTTCTCTTGTGAACTCTTTCTCCTATGGATATTATCTAGGAAGTGCCCCTATTTCAGTCCTTTGAGGTCATGCAGGCTGGTTTCGTATATTAAATGGTTTGACCTTTGCTCTGTAGTGATTGCACGGGAAAAATCATATTTCTTGCCAAAAGCCTTCAAGGGATATCACAGGGACACTCGTTTGTTTGTGGATGATGTCATTCTGAATTACATGGCAGGTAGTTTGCAGGGAGTGTACCAAGGTTGAGTTACCTAAGGAATTTTGCTTGACACTGTATTCTGCCACTTCTATCTTAAATTTCTAATCCTTATCTGGTAAACTTGGGGATAATTTCCAGTTATTAGGCTGTTTGTTTCCTCGTATATAACCTTTTCAATTTTTTGGTAGGCATTCTATGGACCGGAGCTGAACGCGGAGGCAGGGATCAGAACTTGTACAAAGAAGCACATCTGGCAGAAGAAAAATACCATGTAATTCTACTTAAAGATAGGACACCAAAAATATCAGTCAGATATAGTCAGATCAGACCTCGTACACTGAATGTGTCGCAAGACACATCAGCTCAATTGGCTATTGGTTCCATCCTTACTGCAACAGACAAGCTTCTCAATGTCCACCCATTTGATAAATCCAAGATTCTCATTGTCAAAGTGAATCGAAGTACAGGATTTCAAGGGCTGATGATTAACAAAAATATTAGTTGGGACTCTCTGGAGGAACTTGGAGAAGGTTTAGAAGTGCCAAAAGAGTTACCTCTATCTTTTGGGGGTCCTGTCATGAAACGTGGAATGCCTCTTGTTTCTTTGGCCAGAAATTGTAGTAATGAGCAGTGCATGGAAGTCTTACCGAATATTTACTTTCTTGATCAATGGGCAACACTTCATGCTATAGAACAGGTCAAATCGAGAAATCAATCTATGGATGACTATTGGTTTTTCGTGGGTTATTCAAGTTGGGGTTGGGACCAGCTATTTGATGAGATTGCTGAAGGAGCTTGGAGCATTAGGAATGGGGATTTGGAACCGTTAGACTGGCCATGGCGATGAACCAAACCATTCTCAACATTGTAATTGACATGCTAGAGCTTTGGGGTTCCTCAAACAGGGGTTCTGAAGAGCGGCTCAACACTAGAGGAATGCAGGAGAAACGAGATTAGTAAACATTTATCAGTTTATACACACAACTATTTGTGATGTAGCAAAAACTGTGCATAGAAGTGTTTACTACTTATTTTGTGAAAGATACGGGACTTTTAGGCTTATTTTGCTGTGGTCTACCTGCCATTGGCATTCATATGTATTGGTGATAGTCTACATTTTGACATTTTTTAATGTGGTTTCTCCTTCTTAAGCACCAAAATCAAATGTGTTGTTGAGATAGAGAGAAAGAGAGGCGTACATGACACACTAGAGGATATAATAGGAAATAAAAAAGAAAAATAAAATACTGTTAGACCAACGTACAAAAAGAACACAAAAACATGTGTCCTTAATAACCCAAAAAAGATTGCGTCTGGATCTATTGAAAAAACGATTCCCATATTATACTTGGTTTTAATTTTGACTTATTTTTTTTATTAAAAATCTATCATATATATTGTAAATATATATTTTTTTAATTTTGAAATAACCATAATAATGTAGAACATAATGAAGTAGTGAGAAATTGAGATTAGATAAGAAGAATACCTGTATGATAGTTTTCCAGATTTTTAACTTGTTAATAGTTATGGAGTACAAATAAACTATTTTGGGAAAAGGAACGCGAAGTTCACTGCCCGTACTTATTTGGTCTACAAGGAAAAACATAAAGCTTTTCAGTCCATAAAAACAAAATCATACAAAAAGACAAATTTTCCCTTACTTTAAAGGAAAAGGAAGGGACACATCATATCTAAAACCACATTTTCCTCGCAGTATCTCTCCGACTCACCTGAATCTATGGTGGCAATGATTTACATTGTCGTTTCGAGCTTTTCACTTTGTCTCGATGGCAACAAAGTCACTACCTTTCCATCTCTACTTCTCTGTCTCATTCGTCTATGGTGGCAACGTTGTTTTTTTCTATCTTTACTTTAACTCCATCTCCTTCATCTATGGTGGTGACACATCACTGCGTCTCAATCTCCTTCATCTATTGTGGTGACATTACCCATCTCCATCTCTACATCTACTCTCTGTCAACAATGGAAACATTGATGATGACCTAATGGAGATTTTGCTCTCTATCCCCTAAAACCATCAAAGAAAAGCCCAATAACAAAGCAAACAAACATGAAATTAAAAAAAAAAAAAAAAAAAATGAAAGAGAGGAATATGCAGATAAATTTTGCACAAGGAAGTTAGAGAAAATATTCCTATCTATGGGAAGCTTTCATCAACTTCAATATAAATGTCGACATTTGTGGATAATAAAATATGTACATAACCGTGCAAATTGATTACAATGAGAAAGAAAATAGTAGAGTGAGACTCCACTGTTTTAAAATTTTGGTTCCAAAACTTAAAAGGACTATCTCATTCTTGCGCGCAATGTCGCAGTGTTGAAAATTTCATAGATCCATATTTCATACCAGATTAAGGTAGTTATCAAATATTTTGACTCTCATCTATTCAATATCTTTTTAATTACAAAAAAAAATTGAATTAATAAATTTATCTATGTCATAACTTTATTTTTCATGATTCTTTTGTTTTCGAATTTAAATTTCTATTATATGTAACATGAATTTATCTATATTACAATTTTTTTTTCAATGATATTTTAGGTGAATTTATTTGGTTTAATAGAACTTTGATTTTCGTTATCTGTAACATGAATCTGTATTATAAAATTTGATTTCCATGATTCTTTTATTTTAAATTTATCTATTTTAATAAGCCTTAGGTTTTAAAAATAATTTTAGGTCAATTTATCTATATTAATGAAACTTTTTATTTCTGTTAAATGTAAAATGAATACGTTTGTATTTCCATGAAAATTTATGTGAGTTTATCTATTTTAATAAAACTTAGATTTTCAACTATTTTAATTGTCTGTAGATATTCTTTTTGTCACAGGGTAACTTTTATTTTTCTTTCGAGATTACCTGTGAAGGCGTTGTTATTACAACCAACCACACACAAACTCAAGATTAAGGGACAAAAACTCACACAGAAGGCACACACGAATTTACTGGGACAAAACTTCCAAACCTTATATATTGAACTCAACAATTTACAAGAACTCTTAAAGTTAGAACACTCTCTGCTTATCAGAATGCTCAAGCACCCCTATTTATACAGGAGTAAGGCAGATGACAACCCTATCTGCCAAGGGGTAGTTACACACGTTTTTGCTATTCCATAGCATACTTGGCTAGCAGGCTTGGTCTCTGTGCAACACCTGCCAGACAGTTCCACCCCTTTCAGTAACTGATGTGGAATTGTCCTTCATCAGTATGCATCTGGACTGAATTCAGACTAGGGATGGCCAGAACTACCTCAGCAACTGCCTTGACTATGTCTCAGCATCTGTAACTGCCCACATCCTCCTGGTCACATGCATTAAGCAGCCATGTGCCTACATTCAGCAGCCAGCCTTACTTCATGAACCAATGTGTATGCTGGGTTCAACCCATGTCATGTAATCCGAAGCTATGCACCCACATTGTTTCAATTGAGCCCACCACGTGCTGCCATGCTCAACCGGGTGTTCTCATGCTGCCTTGGTTCGTCTTAATCTGTCGAACCACTTTAGCCGTGTCACCTTGATTTCAACTTATGACATGCCTTGATGCAAGGTGCCACCAAGACCGGCCATTTGCACCCAAGTCAGTTAGGGTGTGACAAGCCACCCCCACCTAAAGTATCCAACGACCTCGTTGGAATGGAGGCATGGTATTGCTTGATGAGATCCTCAAACTGCCATAATGTCGTCTCTTTCTCCCAAGTGGTTTCCTCCGACGCTTTTCCTTTCCACTTGACTAGGTAATGAGTTCTTTTGTTTTTCTTACTCATTCCCTCAGTCTTTTGGTCAAGGATAGCTTCAGCTATTTCTGTGAATTGCTTCCTGATTGTTCGAGGAGCCCGATGCTGAACGTATCTGTTAGGGTCCTCCGGGTCCTCAATATAAGGCTTCAAGAAGGCAACATGAAAAACTGGATGAAGATTGAGACGACTAAGAAGATCTAGCTTATAGACTAACCTGCCAATCCTCATTGTTATTAGGAAAGAGCCGTCATAACGCTAGATTAGTCCCTTGTGTGCAGACTTTCGAGAGATCTTGTTCTAGATTGGTGGGGTCAATTTCAGCATCACTTTGTCACCCACTTCGAACTCTACTGCCCTTCTCTTCTCGTCTGCCCACTTTTTCATCCTCTTCACCGCTTTAGTTAAACAGTCTTTTGCCTCATCGGTCCGCTCTTGATTGGCCCGAGCAAAGCGGTATGCTACAGGACATCTCCCTTGAGACTTCTGCTTGACAACTTAATGCTGGGTAAGAGGCTATTGGCCAGTCGCCAACTCAAATGGGCTCATTCCAGTGGAAGAGCTCTGTTGGAGGTTATAACTGAATTGGGCTACATCAAGTAAATTCACCCAATTGTCCTGGTTCGCTGTGACATAGTGTTTGAGATATTCCTCCAACATTGCATTAACTCGTTCAGTCTGCCCATCTGTCTGCGGATGATTGCTGGTGGAAAGGTTGAGCTGTGTACCCAACAGTTCAAATAAAGCCGTCCAAAATCGGCTAGTAAACCGAGTGTCTNTTGTATTAACCCGCTCAGTCTGCCCATCTGTCTTCGGATGATTGTTCGTGAAAAGGTTGAGCTGTGTGTCCAACAATTCAAATAAAGTTGTCCAGAACCGGCCAGTAAACCGAGTGTCTCTGTCGCTGACTATGTCCAGCGGAAGACCCCAAAGCTTCACAATATGCTTGAGGAACAACTGAGCAGTAACTTCCGTCGTACACACTTTTGGGGCAGCAATGAAAGTGGTATACTTCAAAAATCTGTCTACAACCACAAATATCGAAGTAAAATCGTTCACCTGAGGCAAGCCATTAATGAAGTCCATGGAAACACTCTCCCAAGGTCTGCTTGGAATAGGGAGGGGTTCCAACGTACCCGTCACCTTCTTCCTTTCTATCTTGTCTTGTTGGCACACCAAACAAGTGCGCACATACAACTCCACATCTGCTTCCATGCGGGGCCAATAATAGCTTTCTGCTTGCAAGACAAGAGTCCGTTGCTGCCCTGGATGTCTTGACCACAGAGCATTATGAGTTTCTTTCAGCAACATCTGTCGAAGTTCGCCTGACTTCGGCACATAGGGTCTCCTTCCTTTGGCGTAGAGAACACCATCCTCTACCCAAAATCACCGAGTCACCCCTTCGTGGACCTGCTTCAACAATAAGCTGGTTACTAGATCATCTTTTGTCTGATACTGAATTCTCTGCAGTATGTCTCCTGCAATCTGGCTAAGTGCAGCAACCGTCCCATCAACAACTGGGATTCGACTAAGAGCATCAGTAACCTAATTTGCACTTCTAGGCTTGTACTGCAACGTGAAATGAAATTGGGCAAGAAAGTCCTGCCATCTTGCTTGTTTTGGTGTCAGCTTCTTCATGGAATTGAAGTAGTTGGTAGCCACATTATCTGTCAGTACAAGGAAATGCTTCCCCAATAAGTAATGCTTCCATGCATTGATGCAGTGAATGACTGCTGTCATCTCCTTCTCATGTATTGAATACCGCCTCTTGGTATCATTCAACTTCCTACTTTCAAATGCCACCGGATGCATATTCTGCACCAGCACCCCTCCAAGAGCAAAGTTTGATGCGTCTGTATGGACTTCAAAAGGCAAATCAAATTCAGGTAACCGTAAAATTGGGCTAGACGTCACCACCGCCTTTAATCGATCGAATGCCTCCTGGCATTCGTAGGACCAGTTCCATGTCCTATCCTTCCTTAGAAGATCAGTCAGCACCGCGACCTTCTTTGAATAATTTTTCACAAATTTTCGATAATAGTTTGCCAAACCAAGGAAAGAACGCAGTTCAGTAACCT